GACAGGTGTGATCGGTGGTGGGGAGGGGGAAGATCTGTGGTTCCCTTACCTGCCACTTCTGTTCCCAATAAGGTACTTGCCTGTGGTCCTGACACCGTGGCTATATGCAGCCCATCCGGCTCAGGTCCTCAAATGCCTGGATTCTGGAGGACGACAGCCTCCTTCCACACCCAGCCTCCTTCCTCAGATCCCAGCAAAGACTGTCTAGGCCTCGCTGCCTGTTTTCACCTTTACCAGCGAAGGCCACTCAGAGCATCTAGCAGGAAACTGGAGCAACGGGTGGGACTGAGACACTCTGGAGCATTGAGAAGGAAACAGGAGAATGGAAGAGTAGTGGACTAATAGGAAACTGCAGAAGGTGAAGGACAGAAAGTTAAGGGGTCAAAATGGGAGGGTTAGGAACAGAGGGACTGAGACCTATCATTACCTGTATTTGTCAAAAGGAAGAAATATATGTACCTGTAAGCAGGCAGATGGACACATTTTTCAAAGCTATGTTTCTTTCTTTTTTTTTTAAAATTTGTTGAGAATATACACAGCAAAACACACTAATTCAACAGTTTCTAAATGTACAATTCAGTGACATTGATTATATTCTTCAATTTTTGCAACCATTCTCACTCTCCTTTTCTGAGTTTTTCCTCCCCTATTAACATAAACTCTAATTTTTCGAGTTGCTGTTACCAGTTTGATCCCATATAGCTGGTTCTTAAAAGAGCATAATGCTCAATGCAGACTTTTTTTTACTAGTTAAGCTAAACTGTTGTGTGGTTTTAAGACTTCAGGGGATATTTTTGACTTAAGGTTTAAAGATTATCTCAGGGCAATGGTTTCAGGGTTTAGCCAACGTTCATGGCTCCAGAAAGTCTGGAGTCCGTGATAATTTGACGTTCTGCATTTTCCCCCTTTTGACAGGATTCTTCTATGGAATCTTTGACCAAAATGTTCAGTAATGGAGCTGGGCACCATCTAGTTCTTCTGGTCTCCTGGCAAAGGGGACAGTTGTTCATGGAGACAGTTAGCCACACATTCCTGACTCTCCTTCCTCTGTTGCTACAGGTAAATATAGACCAATTGTGCCTTGGATAGCCGCTTGCAAGTCTTTAAGACCTCAGGCACTATGCAGCAAACTAGGAGGTAGAACAGAAGCACCAAACATGTTATTAGGCCAATTAACTGGGATGTCCCATGAAACTATAACCCTAAACCTCCAAACAAAGAAAACAAATCCCATGAAATTTTTGGTTGTACCTAAGCAGCCTCAGCAGTCACCCTTTTTTTTTTTTTTTTTGTCATTGTAAATTTATTTATCACACAGCTTTGCCAATTCAGCTTTTTACAGGTGTAGCGCTATATTTCTTTATGAGAGACACAGCCTGTAGTAATTTATTTTCTAAACATTTTAAGACAAGTGCCCACTTCTCAGCTGCTCTTAAGGAGCGACAACCACCGGTAACAGTTTTTCTACAAGACAAATACATGAAGTACAGACTCCCCGGAGCTGCCTGCCACTTCCACCCCCTGAGAACTACGACTAGGAGTTGTGTGTTGCTCTATGTTGCTGCATTCCCTGATGCAGCTTTTTCAAAGTGAGGTGGACTCCTGGAGATCCTTGAGACCCTTTTAGGGGATCTGTAAGCTCAAAACTATTTTCATAATAATGCTAAGATGTTATTTACCTTTTTCACTGTATCGATATTTACAGAGATGGTACAAAAAGCAGTGGTGGGTAAAACTGCTGGCACCTTAGCATGAATCAAAGCAGTGGCACCAAACTATATTAGTAGCCATAATATCCTTCCTCAGTATTGAGTTACTGTATTTGCCATCTTATATCTGCCACTGTGAGCTTGATGCTTTTCAGTACTTAAACAAGTTTCCTGATGAGCTCAGTGGTGATATTAGCAAATCGATTTCTTTTTTAATATTGAATAAATGAAATGTATCAGCATTTGTAAGATCTGCATAACTCTGTGTATTAGATGTCTATTGTTACATAACAAATCACCCCCAAACAATGGCTTAAAACAGCAAATATTTAATATCTCACTGTTTCTATGGGTCAAGAATTTGAACGTGGTTTATCTAGGTGGTTCCAACTTAAGGTCTCTCCTGAGGTTGCAAGCAAGATGTCTGCTGGCCATAGAGCAGAATGCAGATTGGTGGTTACCAAGGACAGGAGGGAGAGGCAGACGAGGAGCAACTGCTTAATGGGTTTGGAGTTTCCTTTTGGCATGATGGAAATGTTTTGGAGCTAGATAAAAGTGGTGGTTGCATAGAAGTGTGAATGCACTAAATGCCACTGATTTATTCACTTTAAAATGGTTACTTTTATGTTATATGATTCTCACCTCAATTTGAAGAAAGATAGCTGCTGTGGCTGCAGTCATCTGAAAGCTTGACTGGAGCTAGAGGATCTGCTCCAAGATGGCTCACTCACACGGCTATTGGTGGGAGGCCTCAGTTCCTCACCGCGTGGACCTCTCCATAGCTTTAATTGAGTGTCCTCACAACATGGCATCTGCCTTTCCTGAAAGCAAGTGATCCAAGAGAGAGTGAGCAAGATAGAATCCTTAATGTCAATTTTATGACCTACCCTCATAAGTCACCCTGTAAATTTCCACCACATTCTATTCTTTAGGAATGAGTCACTGTACAACCCACACTCAAGGAGAGGAAAATTAAGCTCTGCCTCTTAAAGTTAGGAGTACCATGAATAGATAGAGTTTAATACCATTACTTACAGTGAACAAATATTTTCCAAATGACCAATGCATGAGGTTGCAAAACCATGATGCACGGGTAAAAGATCTATTCCAATTGCAAGATACACTAATGGATTTTTAATGTAACAATACAAAAAGTTCATTGATAAGGTTTTAGATTCCACATTGCTACTAACCATTATTATTTGTTGAGTTTTGGTTTAGTATCAAAGAAGAATATCCACAATTATCTGAAAAAGCTATTAAAATACTCCCAATTTCCAACTGTGTTATCTGTGAGAGGCCATATTTTTTTCATACACTTCAACTAAAACAACATCAGAATATAAGAATGCAGAAACAGATATGAGGATCGAGCTGTCTTCTATTAAGCTAGACAGTTAAAGAGATTTGCAAAAATGTAAAACAATGCCACTCTTCTCACTAATTATTTTTTTTTTGTAATTTTAGAAACTTTAAAAATAGTTTTATTGTCGTAAAAACATATATAACAAAACATTTGCCAATTCAACATTTTTTACATGTGCAATTCAGTGACACTGTTTACATTCATCATGTTGTGCCACCATTATCACTATCTGTTTCTAAGTTATTTCACTATCATTAACAGAAACTCAGTGTGCCCTAAGCAAAGACGCCCTTTTCCCCCTCCGACCCACTCCTAGTAACCACTAATAAACTTTGGTCTATATATATTTGCATATTTCATGTAAGTGGGGTCATATAATATTTGTCCTTTTGTGACTAGCTTATTTGAGTCAGCATAATGTTGTCATCCATGTCATAACATGTATCAGGACTTCATTTCTCTTCATGGCTGAAAAATATTTCATCTTATGTGTATATTATGTTTATCTGTTCATCTGTTGATGGACATTTAGGTTGTTTCTACCTTTTGGCTATTGTGGATAATGCAGCAGTGAACATTGCTGTACAAGTTTCTGTTTGTGTTCCTGCTTTCAGTTCTTTTGGGATTGCTGGGTCATATGGTCATTCTGTTTAACTTTTTTGAGGAACTGCCAAACTGTTTTCCATAGCAGCTGTACCATTTTGCATTCCCCACTAACAGTGGATTAGAGTTCCAGTTTCTCCACATCCTCACCAATACCTGTTATTTTCTGGGTTTGTTTGTTTTTTTATCATAGCCATTCTACTGGGGGCTGAAGTGGTATCTCATTGTGGCTGCTAACTGAGAGATTGGCAGTTCATACCCACCAGCTGCTCCACAGGAGACAGATGGAGCAGCAGTCTACTTCCCTAAAGACTACCCATTGCTGTTGAGTCGATTTTGACACATAGCGACCGTACAGGACAGAGTAGAACTTTACCCATAGGGTTTCCAAAGAACTGCCGACCTTTTGATTAGCAGCCAAGCTCTTAGCCACTGTGCCACCAGGGCAGTTCTGCTGTGTCCTGTAGGGTCACTATGTGTCAGAATCAACTTGATGGTTATGGGTTTTGGGTTTAGTGACTAATGACATGAGCATTTTTTCATGTGCTTGTTGGCCATTTGTATATCCTCTCTAGTGAAATGTCTATTCAATTCCTTTGCCCATAGTTTGATTGGGTTGTTTGTTTTTTTGTTGTGGTTAAGTTATAGGAGTCTTTATATATTCTGGATATTAAACCCTTATGAGATACATGACTCCCCAAAATTCCTCCCAATCTCTAGGTTGTCTCTTCACTTAGTTGATAAAGTCCTTTGATGCACAAAAGTTTTTAGTTTTGATGAAGTCCAGTTTATCTATTTTGTCTTTTGCTGCTCATGCTTCAGGTCATATCTAATAAATCATTGTTAAAAACTAGGTCCCAAATTATTATCTTGTGTTTTCTTCTGAATTTTATGTTTTCAGTTCTCACATTTAGGTCCTTGATCCATTTTTAGTTAGTTTGCGTATGTGGCGTGAGGTATGGTTCCAGCTTTGTTCTTTTGCATGTGGAAATCTAGTTGTCCCAAGACCATCTGTTAAAGAGATGTTTCTTTTCCCATTGAATGGACTTAGCACCCATGTTGAAAATCAACTGAGCGTAGATGTATGGGTTTATTTGTGGACTCTCAATTCTATTCCATTTGTCTACATGTCTATCATTATACCAATACCAGGCCGTTTTTATTACAGTAGCTTTATAGTATGTTTTGAAATCAGGAAGTGTAAAGCCTCCTACTTTGTTCTTCTTTTTCAGGATTGCTTTGGCTATTTGGAGTCCTGCTGGCACACTGGTTAAGAGCTTGGCTGCTAACCAAAAAGTCAGCAGTTCAAATCCACCAGCTGCTCATTGGAAACCCTGGGGCAGTTCTACTCTGTCCTATAGAGTCACTCTGTGAGTTGGAATCAGCTCAACAGCAATGGGTTTAGCTATTTGGGGCCCCTTGCAGTTCCATATAAATTTGTGGATTGGCTTTTCCGTTTCTGCAAAGAAGGCTATTGGAATTTTGATGGGTATTGCATTAAATCTATAGATTGCTTTGGGTAGTATTGGTATGTTAATATTAAGTCTTCCAATCCACGAATAGGGAACGTCTTTCCATTTATTTAGGTCTTCTTTAATTTCTAATTATTTTTTGTTTGGGAAAATATAGTTATTTTTCTTAAAAGTATTTGCATGTATGTGCCAGTATGTATTAGATTTATTATTGTAATTTTAAAATGAATGGATATTTAAATTTTTTTCAATGTTAGTTTTTAATATGGTAATTATTGATATATACAACACTTATAAATAAACAAAAGCTCTTTGGGGATCCTCAATAATTTTTAAGAGTGTAAAGGGGTTCTGAGACCAGAAAGGTTAAAAACCACTTATATCAGCAATCATGGTTTTCCCATTGCCCTTGTAGTAACACGTTTTTGTTATTGGGCATGTGCTGCAATTCTGGACAATGACATATGAGGCAAAGGTGCTCTGTGTTCGGTTTTCTGTTCACAGAATCAAAAATACAGTTGGCCAAAACATATGACAAGATTTTCAGCATTACTACTGATCAAGAAACTGCAAAATAAAACAGCAGTAAGATGTTTATTTTCATAAAACATATTATCAGGTAGTTAAAAAGAGTAGTAGGGTTGGTTAAGGTGTTTCTGAGATCAACACTTTATAAAGTTCAGTGTAGGTGTGAGTGTAAATTGGTTGGGCATTTTTGGTAGGCAGTTTGGCTGTATTTATCAGCGTTAAAACACATGTATACTCTGAGGTAGTCGGGAAGCTGGGAAGAGTAGAAAGGACTAAGGGAATGGACATAAGAGGAGGCACTAAGGAACTGGAGTGTAAAGGGAAGAATGTATGGGACAGGAGGGACTGGGATTAGGGGAGGGAGGGGAGAGGAATTTGGCACCTAGTTTTTAACAATGGGTTCTTATATATGACACCAAATTCTTATCTCCCTTTGGCCTGGAGGGACCAAGAGGCACTTGGAAGGACTGTGAGAAATGAGAACAAATGGAAAATGAGAGAACTGAGAACAATTAGAAACGACTGAAGAAACTTGATGAGAGTGGCATGAAGAGAAGGAATGGGACTGGCAGGGACCTAGAGCCACAGGCAAAACAGCCTGTTAACATTGAGCAAGGTCCCTGTGGGAAGAATGAGGTTTGTTAGCAAAGAGGAAACACTCTTTTTCAGCGTGATATTAACTGTGCCTTTGCAGAGTTCTTTTACTTCCTCTCATCTTGGCTCTTGTTATTACATTGTCATTTGCTTTTAAAAGCAATCTGAGATCTCTGAAGACTTCTTAGTCTGAAGCTTCTGATGGCCAGTGGTTTGTATCTTTCCCATGTGATCCTAAAGTTCAAAATACACTTTTCCACTGCCTTTAGTAGAACTTTTCTTTGTCACTCTCGTGGCTCAGGAAGCTGTCCTAAATCCTGGGAGGGCATAAACGGAGGCTGTCTCTGCAAGAGACTGCAGATATGTATAAGGGAGTGCGGGCCCCAAGGCTCTTCACTTCCCTCTTGGCTTGAGGTGGGTGTTATTTTAGGAAGTAGAAGGTCCTTATGATCACTGGCTTTCTGTGTGGTTCATGCAGTTTTCCACATAGTGAATCACAGAGCAACTCAGAGAGAAAGGATCTGCAGAGGAGGACTCTGAGATCTGAAGGCTTAGGGTCCTGGAAAAATAAAAATGAATTCAAGTCTTCAGCTAACTAGGATTGGGAGCTAACTGTTTGGAGGGTGTGTTGGCGGTTCAGTTGTAGGATTTTTGCCTTCCGTGTGGGAGACTCGGGTTCAGTTC